TAGATGTCAAGATATCTTTGAAAAACCTTTTGCTAACTTTATAAATTTCTTTAAAGAAATTTATAAAGTTGGCAAAAGGTTTTTCAAAGATATCTTGACATCTACCAAGTTGATTTGGATGATCTAACTACTGTTAGATAACAATGCCAGAGCGTAGAATCAATTTTCTGATCACATGATTTTTCTGACCTAGATCACGTGATTTCGAAACAGGCCGGCAAATCGGCCAATTGAATTGCGTTATCAAATCTCATGACTTCTAATTTAGTAATTAGCAAACATAATAAATAAATATTCAAGGCTTTTTAAAGCACAAAAAGAAATTTAAAATAACCAATAATATATGAATTATAAAATTCGGAACAAATAAATGACTATATATGATAATTTGCAGTTTATTTGATTCAGTTTTATTATACGATTGATAAAAAATAGTCAAACAGATTATGGGTCTCCCAGAATATTTTTTTCAATGTGATGAGATAGCTGCTAGTTATAAAGTGCACCCAATTCTTATGATAATTTTGCCTAAGATTCATATTGCGAAATCGGATAGTAATTTTGCCAATCAGCACAACTCTTCACTAAAAAAAAATGGTTCTGAATAATTGATTTCCACTAATTAAAATTAAGTTACAGCCTATTAATTTAGGTGCTTGAGCACACATTATATCTCAAGAATGCTATAATCATAGGAAGACTTTTCCTAAGATTCATATTGCGAAATTGGATAGTAATTTTGCCAATCAGTACAACTCTTCACTAAAAAAAAATAGTTCTGAATAATTGATTTTCACTAATTAAATTAAGTTACAACCTATTAATTTAGGTGCTTGAGCACACACTATATCTCAAGAATGCTATAATCATAGGAAGACTTTTGTATGATTGGCAGTTTAAATCAATTTAATTTACATATTTATACAGTTTAAATACTTTTTAAAAAATAAAATTACGAAGAATGAACAAAAAAAAAAGTATATAGAAGGGTTGTTGGACTCCATTATTAAAAATAATCCAAATCTTTTTTTGTTTTAGAGAAATTAACAAGGTAATAACCTATCTTTAAGAAGTCGCTATTATGCTAACTTCTCTAAAACAATAAGGGATTTGAATTATTTTTAATAATGGAGTCCAACAACTCTAATAAAACTTTCTATATACTTCTTTCTGTTTATTCTTCATAGTTTTGTTTTTTTTTAAAAAGTACTTTAAACTGTATAAAACTGCCAATCATACAAAAATCTTCCTATGAATGCTATAATGTATTGCATCATTTGACAAAAAAGAATAAAATTAGATGAAAGTTTGTGGTCGTAATTTGTATAAAATATATTCACCAAACTTAATGCAAATTCATAAAATTACGTAAAATTATAGCAATTTGCAACCTTAACCACGATAAATCAGAGTTAAATATATTTGATAGATCGAAATTGCTTAATCATTACCTCATTTTTATGTATTCCAAAATGCCTATATAATAAATTTGTTAACAAAATAGAATTGAATAATTGAATAAATTTTTTTTTAAAAAAAAATTACCTATAACGCCATTGAATACAATCTAATTAACGCTCTAAAAAAAAAATTATCTAAAGTTTTTATCTTATAGTTACGATCTAATGTCTACTTGTACCTCTTGTAATCGTATACTTCCTCCTAAAGCATTTATATATAAAAACAAATCATATAAGACATGCGCTGAATGCAAAACTAGTAGAGCTGAAAAGGAAAATTCTAAAAAAGCAGTTAATACTGATAGTGAAGAAGCCCCTATTGAAATAATTACAATTGATGAAATTAGTAATTATATTTCTAATATGATTGATGGATTAGAATATAATACTGCTCTATTTTCTACTTTTTATATTAAATTTGATGAAATTATTCTTAATGCTGTTGGTGTGGATGTTAGAGTAATGGCTAAATTAATTATCGACGAAATTGAAGAAGGGGATGATTTCAAATGGGCGTAAGTAAACTACAAAATAAAAACAGTATTACTTACCTCAAGTTTTTTTTTTTTAATTCTAATCTTTAATTATCTAGCGCTACAACTGCACCAAACATTTCATCACGTCATCAAGGTGTTGATAATGCATACTTTGCATGTTCTCAAAGTACTGAGATTGAGTATGAATACAAAGACTCAAATCGTAAAAGAATCGACCATTTTAATTGTGGTGGCAAATTAACTATCAAAATTGATATTCCAGCTGCAAAAGCCAAAGTAACACTGCAGTATAAGTTAATACATGAAAGGCCCGTTAATGTTGCAACACCTCCAGAAGTAAAACAAGAAATTATGGAAAACCTAAATATGGATCCAGTACACTTACGAACCCATTTTAGAAAAAATTTGACATATCTAAAATTACCTCAAAACAAATCCACTACTGGTGGTCCTATTATGTACAAAAGTTTTATAAAAGTGAAGAAAATCATGTTATCTCTGCGTGTACTTTTCTTGAACAGCAGCAAAAGAATAATTATGAGCTGCGTTTTCGGGTAGAAACTAGTTATGTTACTGCAATCGGGTTTACAACCCCCTTGTTTCATTCATTACAAAATGTACTAGAGATCCATTGTGACGCTACATACAAAACCTCTAAAGAATGTTTTGAACTCTACGGGATTGTTGGAAATTTCGAAGATGCTCTTTCTCTCCCTCTCTCAAATTATAGATGGGCGGCGAATTCAAAAAGAAAATTAAAAACAATATATAATTATAATCAAGTAATATTGTTGTAATTTTCTTTTTTGAATTTCGCCACCTATCTATATTTGAAATCATTATAAACTAACTATCGTTATTTATACACAGGTGCGGGTTTCCCTTTGGCTTACCTCATTCTTGACATGACGAAAATTAGTGATGAAATACAAGAAAAATTGCAGACTGAAGCTCTTGAAAGTTTTTTTGATACCCTTTATAGTAAAGGTTTGCACCTCATCTACTTTTATATCAACAAGGACTTCGCTGAAATAAATGCAGCAAAAAAAGTATGGCTGGCGTGTAATATACAACTCTGCCTGTGGCATATTAAAAAAGCTCTTAAGAAAAAAATTAGAAGCAAAATAAAATCAAACGAACTAATTATCAATATGAGGAAGTTGCAAATGAATTTCTTTTGTTGATTCTTCTTTCAAACCTGATCTGAAACGCAAAGATAAAGAATACTATATTATCTGTCCATCTAACTTGCATATAGATATTATTAACCTTATTAAAAAGCATTTTAATATGCATCCCAAAATTCTAATTAGTGCTGATGGTCAATTCTTATCTTCTAAAGAAATAAGAATGAAGGTGGTTTGTGAAATATATGAATTTTGCAATGCAAATAATCTTGTATTGCTTTGGGTGTATTTGTGATGTGCCTGGTACAAACCTTCCAGATGGTGTCTCTGAGCTCGTTCTATACGGAAAATAATACCTCTTGGTAAAACTAATATGATGATCGAGGCCCATTGGAAGGTTTTAAAACATAATTATCTATACCAGTTTAACCACCCAAGACTTGATTATCTTACATAAATCATTTGCACTTGAGTTTTACCTAACCAAATTATCCACCTTCAGAAAATTTCACTTGGCAGAACATCTCCGTCATGGTATGAAAGAATCTTATTAAGAAATCAATTGATAAAGAAATTGGTGAACATTATTATATTGATTTGAATTGCTGGATATGTAGTTGCCTCTATTTTCTTAATAGTCGTTTTTTAATTTGCAAGCATTTGATTCATATAGTATTAGAAAAAATGAAGTCAGAAAAGCAAGAAGTTTAATTAGTTTATTCTAATTTTAAATGATGAACTGAATATCCATTTTTAATCTGGGATGGAAGTAAAACTCAAGATGAAACTGAAACCATTTCAAACTTAATACTATCCCTTAAATTGTAATACAGGCAAATTTGCTTGCGTTTATTTTTTTAAACTTTATTTTTTTAATAAAATCTTA